ACCCTAGTCCCTTATTTGTCTCAAAGTTAAGTTGATTTCAGATTGATTTAAACCATTATTTTCCTATTTTTATTTCACAAACTCTTTTACAACTTTTGTTTCACTTAACCTAATCAAGAACACAATTATGATGTTTAACTCATCTAGTCTTAGTCTCTGAGAGAACAATACTTTTTATATTACTTGCGACCTGTTTGCTTGCGGTTAAGCTAATCGGTGAACAAGTTTTTGGTGCCGTTGCTGAGGACTAACATTAAGATTGTTTGAGGTTGATTGTCCTTATTGTGTGATTGGTTACACTTAAGTTTTCTTTTAGCATTTGTAGAGATAGTTATAGATAGAATAGTAGTATTTATTTTGTTCATTTCATTTGATAAGTTTGATACTCTTATGTTTGATTTGATTTCACAGGTACCCCCTGATGCATGTAAGGAAATATAGAAGTTATCTTAGAAGAGGTTACTGAAGAAGGATCTAGTTCAGGAGAAATTGAGTATACACCGGAGATTCGATAATGACCCCGGCTACTTCTACTACCACCACTTGAAACAGAACCGCAAGAAAACATGATGGAACAAGACGAGAATAACTTGTATACTCTGGATGACTATTTAGATAAGGAAAGGCAGACTTTTCACTCAAGTATTCGGCTACCAGATATTGAAGCCAGAAATTTTGAAATCAAGCCAGTTATGATTCAATTACTGAGGATGATTGGTACTTTTGAAGGAAATTTCAAGGGCGATCCTAATGAGCACTTGACCAAGTTTATAGAGGTGTGTGAGAACTTCAAGCAAAATGGGGTCTTTAAAGATGCTTTAAGGTTGAGGTTGCTCCCTATGTCCTTATCTCACAAGGCAAAAGCATGGTTGAATTCTTAGCCGGAATACTCGATTAAGACTTGAGATGAGCTTGTGGCAAAGTTCAAGGCCAGATTTATTCCAAGAGGTAAACAAGCTACACTAAGGGGTGAATTACTTTCCTTTGAGCAGCATCCGGATGAGCTATTCTATGAGGCTTGGGAGGGACTCAAGGATATATGGAGAAATTGTTCGAATCATGAGCAGAAGAAATATGTTCTAATAGAAGCTTTCTGGAATGGGTTGAATGATCAAATATTGACCATGTTGAATACCGCTTCAAATGGAGAAATCAAAAAGATGAAGGTAAATGAGCTATATGAATTGTATGAAGAGGTAGCGTCTAGCACTATGTAACAATATGACAAGAGAAGGCAAAGTTCTGAGAGATATATAGAGCCTAGTTCTTAATCATCTAGAGATATTGCATCGCAACTTGAAGCAATCTCCAAAAGGTTTGACAACTTGGAACTGCAAATCAAGAAGGGTAATGCTGTAGGAGTTCATGCACTTCAGGCTCTAGGGTACACTTATGACCATTATAATGAGGAACATCATTCTCATCAGTGCCCTTACACTTTGGCCACAGTCAATTATATGAATAATGTGCAGCGAAGACCACAAGGAAGTCCTTATTCTCAAACCTACAATCTAGACTTGAGAAATCACCCAAATCTCTCATGGCGGAATGGGCCAAGTTTGAATCTGCCACAAATATTATCATCTGGTTTTAAACAAATGGGGCCTCTTGGTTTTTATGGCCAACCACAGCATCAACCACAATAGCAGCACCCTTAAAAGGAAGAATCCAAAATCAAGAAAATGTTTACTCAGTTATTGTCTAACTAAGAATCTATAAAGGCTGAGAATAAGGCAACCTTCGTATTCCATGAAACTGCTATCAAGAATCTCGAGGTTTAAATGGGTCAACTGGCTTCACAAATAAATGTGCTCACAAGAAATATCCTTCCAAGTGACACCATTCCCAATCCAAAAAGGGATGGTAACGAAGAGTGTAAAGCTATCACTTTGAGAAGTGGAAAGCAACTACCCGACATTCCAAGGCCTAGTAAGACCACCAAAGACATCACTAACAGCATGGTGACTGACCTTGATTCAAATGAGCTTTCAGAGGTGATATAGCAGAAGAGGAAGAGAGCAAGAAAAGGAAACAAACAGAAGAAAATCTCAATGATATGGTTTGAGGGAAAAATATAGAGGGTGAAATGGTTGATGATAAAAAGAGGAAGACAACCCCTCCTCCTCCCACACGGATGCCGCCACTTCCCTTTCCTCAAAGGTTTAGCAAGAAGGATGAAGATGCCCAGTTCAAGAAATTTATAGACATGTTCAAGCAGTTGCACATTAACATCCTGTTTGTTGAAGCATTAGAGCAGATGCTGAAGTATGCTAAGTTTCTTAAGGATGTCTTGTCCAAGAAGAAGAAATTTGGTGAATTTGAAATAGTAGCCCTTACAGAAGATTGTAGTGCCATACTTCAAATAAAATTTCCACCAAAATTGAGAGATCTCGGCAGTTTCTATATCCCATGCAACATAGGCAAACACTTCAATGGAAAGGCTCTATGTGATTTGGGAGGAAGTGTTAACCTGATGCCTCTTGCTATTTTCAATCAATTAAATTTGGGTGAAGCAAGGCCAACCACTGTTACATTGCTCTTTGCTGACAGAAGTAGCTCACATCCCAAAGGGGTTATAGAAGATGTCTTGGTAAAAGTAGATAAATTCATATTTCTAGTTGAATTTATTGTGTTGGATTGTGAGGTAGACTGGAACATTCCCATCATCTTAGGAAGGCTATTCTTAGCTACCGCAAGAACTCTCATTGATATGGAAAAGGGTGAGATCACCATGCAAGTAAATGATGAGAAGGTGATATTCAACATGAATCAAGCTTTGAAATTTCCAGATGATTCTCTTCACTGTAATAATATTGATGTGATTGACTTTGTAGTATAAGAGGAGATGATTAATTCTTTAACAAAGATCCCTTGGAAGCATTGTTGGTTGGAGAAATGAGTAGTATTGATGGCAAGGTTAAAGAGTATGCAAAAATGATGAGTATTGAAGCATTTTCTTATTGAAGAGCTAAGACTTTTGAGCCTCTTGATGTGACTAGTGCTTTAGGCTCTCCACTAAAGCCTTTTGTTGATGAACCCCTAGTGTTAGAGTTGAAGACTTTACCCCCTCATCTTAAGTATGTCTACTTGGGAAGTTCTGCTACATTACTTGTGATTGTTTCTTCTCAGTTGTCCACATTACAAGAGGAGAAGTTGTTAAGGGTTTTGACAAATCATAAGAAAGCTATTAGGTGGTCCATAGCTGACATCAAAGGGATCAGCCCTTCTTTGTGTATACACAAGATTTTATTAGAAGATGATCACAAGCTATCTATTGAGCATCAAAGAAGATTTAACCTGATTATGAAAGAGGTGGTCAAGAAAGAGATTCTTAAATGGCTTTCTGCTGGCATAGTATGATAGCTCGTGGGTGAACCCAGTCTAATGCGTCCCTAAAAAGGGCTGTATAGCTGTAATGGCTAACACCTGAGATGAGCTAGTTCCATCTCGTATTGTGACTGGGTGGAGAATTTGCATGGAAAATCAAAAATTAAATGCTGTAACCAAAAAGGACCATTTCCTGCTGCCATTTATTAACCAGATGCTGGATAAACTTGTTGGGCAAGAATTCTTTTATTTCTTGGATGGATAGTCAGGATACAACCAAATTGCAATAACTGAAGATGATCAAGAGAAAACAACATTTACTTGCCCATATGGCATGTTTGCTTTCAAAAGGATGTCGTTTGGTCTTTGTAATGCTCCAGCAACATTCCAAAGGTGCATGATAGCCATCTTTGCTGGCATGATCACGAAGACAATTGAAGTATTTATGGATGACTTCACTGTGTTCAGAGATTCTTTTAATTGCTGCTTAGATAATTTGGTAGCTGTTTTACAAAGGTGTGAAGAAACCAACTTGGTTCTGAATTGGGAGAAATGTTACTTTATGGTGCAAGAGGGCATTATCCTTGGTCATTAGGTATCCAAACATGGCCTAGAAGTTGACAAGGCAAAGGTGTCTATTATTAAGCAATTGCCTCCACCAACAAGTGTAAAGGGTATTAGAAGTTTCTTGGCTTATGCGGGATTCCACCGTTGCTTCATTAAATATTTCTCTAAAATCACTAAGCATTTGTGTAATCTTTTAGAGAAAGATAGAGAGTTCAAGTTTGATGATGTTTGTATGAATTCTTTTGAGGAGTTAAAGAAGAGGCTTACATCAGCACCAATTTTAGTGGCACTTAATTGGGAGATACGTTTTATCATTATGGCCGATGCTAGTGATTTTGCTGTTGGAGCAGTGCTGGGACAAAAAGTAGAAAAAGTCTTCCATCCCATTTACTATGCAAGTAAAACCCTGGATGATGCCCAACTTAACTACACCACTACAGAAAAAGAACTGTTGGCAGTGGTGTTTGCTTGTGAGAAATTTCGTTCTTATATTGCAGGCACTAAAGTGACTGTTTATATGGACCATTCTGCTCTGAAGTATCTGTTTACCAAGAAATATTCCAAAGCATGCCTGATTCGCTAGGTCTTCTTGCTTCAAGAATTTGACTTGGAAATTGTTGATAGAAAGGGAACTGAAAACCAAGTGGCAGATCATTTGTCTCAGTTGAGTATTGAAGCTCAACATGATCATTGCCAAGAGATTAATGTGGCATTCCCCGATGAATGCTTGTTCTTTGTGGATGAGTCGACTACTCTGTGGTATACAGATCTGGTTAATTATCTAGTTTGTGGAACTCTGCCACCAAATCTTAATTTCCACCAAAAGAGGAAATTCCTTCATGATATAAAGATGTACTTCTAGGAAGAGCCTTATTTGTTCAAAAGATGTGCCGATCAAATGATAAGAAGATGTATTCCGGAAGTTGAGCAGTAAGACATTCTAGAGTCTTGTCATTCTTCTGCTTATGGAGGGCACCTTGGAGGAGAGAAACTGCTGCCAAATCCTTCAAAGTGGTTTCCATTGGCCCTCATTGTTCAAAGATGCATACGTCTTTGTCATCCGATATTAGTGTCAACGGGTTGGAAACATATCAAGAAGGAATGAAATGCCTCTGAACAACATTCTGGAAGTTGAACTCTTTGATATATGGGGGATTGATTTCATCGGCTCTTTTCCAAAGTCTTTCAATCATGAGTACATTTTGGTCGCTGTGGACTATGTTTTGAAATGGGTTGAACCTACGGCATGTACATCCAGTGATGTTAAGATTGTGATCAAATTCCTAAAGAAAAACATCTTCACTAGATTTGGAGCACCCCAGGCTATTATCAACGATGGTAACTCTCACTTTTGCAATCATCAATTTTAAGCTCTAACAAAGAGATATGGTGTTAAACATAGGGTAACTTTGGCATATTACCCTCAGTCTAATGGCCAAATTGAAATATCCAACGGAGAGATTAAAAGCATTCTCTAGAAAGTAGTAGGTGCAACAAGAAAAGATTCGTCATTGAAAATGGACCTACAGGATAGCGTATAAAATCCCGATTAGGATGTCTCCATATTAGTTGGTGTTCAGAAAAGCATGGCACTTGCCTATAGAATTGGACCATGGAGCTTAGTGGGCCATAAAAAAGCTCAATCTTGACTTTCAAGCTGCTGGTGCAAAAAGGCTCCTTCAATTGAATGAACTAGAGGAATTTCGCCTCAATGCCTATAAAAGTATGAGGCTTTATAAGGAGAAGACCAAGAAGTATCATGATTAGAAAATTCTACCTAAAGTCTTTGAAGCTAGGCAAAAAGTGTTACTTCACAACTCCAAATTGAGACTATTTCTGGGCAAACTCAAATCATACTGGTCAGGGCCATTCACTGTGGTACAAGCTGCAAACCATGGTGCAGTGGAGCTAGAGAATGACAAAGGTGAGAGGTTTCAGGCAAATGGCCATCGGTTGAAGCATTATTGGGGTAGAAAGGTGGATTGTCAAGTTTCCACGATCTAGTTTGCTGAGTCATCATGAAGAGCTGAAGAGTCAGGTTGAAGACTATAAACCAAGTACTACTTAGGAGGCAACCCTAGCTCTGAACTTTCCTCTTGTGTTGTTTTTTTCTTTTTGATTTTATTTTAGTAGTTTTATGTTTGATTGTTATTTTTGTCGGCCTGAAGGTTTATTTTTCAAACTTTGGATCCTCGCAAGAAGGAGTTGTTGATTTCTAACTAGCGCAAGTAGGGAAGTGCACCTAACCTTAATCTCAAGCATTAACCTTGACCTTATTGTTACATCTGGATTATCAAGTGCCTTTAACTTAAAATTCAATGATATTGTGGCTTTGATTGGTTATTTTGATTATTCTGGAGCTTGTGTTAATTTGAGGCTTATGGGTATTGTTTATGAGTAGTTGTCTATGTTTTGTTGTTTCCTATGATTGTGCTTGTGTATGGTCTTGTTTTATTGCAGGTTGTGTGTTTGAAAGTTGTGGGTCTATTTAGTTGTTGATGGTTGCTTAGTTTAGATTTGATTTGTCTCATTCGTCGCGGCGTGTCTGTTCATGTACTGTGGCAGCTTCTGTTTTTGGGCGTTGTGCATTTCTGTGATAGCCGTCATGGCGGTTTGGATAAAGCACCGCGGTGGCCTCTCCTTTTTAATTTGAGTCTGCTTCTGTAATAAGCGCCATGGCTCTTTATCTCATCTGCCGCGGTGTCTGTGTTTTCTTCCTCTGTTTTGCCATTCTTTTACTAGGAATTCTCATTTCTGTCTAAGGCACCATGGCATGAGTCCTCATGCACCACGACGCCTGATCGTATTCTACAGTTTCTTTTTTTTTTTTTTAACTTCCATTGTTACCCTCAACTATTTTTCATAATACCCACTTTGTCCCTTTGTATCTGGACGGTTTTGGGGTTAGATTCGCTGTCCTTAATTCTAAAACCTTAACTCTTTGGTCTTTTCTCTCTCCCTCTCAATGTCAAAACACCCTTCCCTTCGGTCCAAATTGTCTTTCCTCCCATGGTGATCATAGTCTTCTCCATCACTGTCGACTCACTCCACAGTTCGAGTTCTCACATTCCCAGTCTCTAGTTTGTGTCTGTGTCAACCATTTCCCCAATCTGTCGTGCTATGTTTCTGTTCTAAGTTTAGAGGTTTGTTTTTTCTTTTCTTCGGTTGGTTAAGTTTCTTTCTTTTGAGAGTTGGGAAGTGTGTTGCTAGGGTTTGTATTGTGGATAGGAGTAGTGTTTGAACTATAAATAGGGGGAGTTTTGAGTCTTTGAGGTTAGTATAGAAAAGGTTCTCATGAGAGCATTTCTTTAAAATTTCATTTGCCCTATTTGAAAGAGAACATGAAGGATGTGGCTTGACACTAATTTCATTGCCCAAGTGTTTGTGAAAGTGTGCTGGTGAAAATATAATACTTGTGAAACTTGATGATTGTGGCTTGAAACTGGCTTGAACAATAAAATGTAATATTAGAAAAAACTTTCAAATGACACTAGTTGTATTGCCCTAGTAGTGTTTTAAAACTGAAATCCAACTTGAAATGCTACTCTTTTTGAGAAATCAAATCGATCAGAGGGCTAAGTTGCTATTTTTAATCTAAGTACTTAGGCAAGACCTTTTGGAAGCAATTTGATTAGGCAGCTACAGATGGTTGCCTATTTTTTAAAGCTTTTTGTAAAACCTCTGTGATCTCTGTTTGGATTGAGAATCCTTGTGCGTTGAGGTTGAAAGGACTTAAGTAGGGGCAAGAGTGTGCTTTTGGTGTTGCTTGAGGTTTGCTTACCTTTGACTGTTGATTTCACTCTTTGATCTAAGTTTGGGGGAGAACCTTTTTAGGGTAGTGTGTTTTTCTTTTTCTGTTATTTTATGTTTGTGATGTTTTGTCTGCTTAGTTTGTGTGTGGTTTGCTTTGTTCATTTTGTGCAAGAATCAACCAAATGGCCCAAAAAAAAAAAAGCTCGTGCTACCTCCCCTAATCCCCCTATCAAGGAGCTTATTGGCAAGAGAGGGTTACATCAAGAAAGGGAGTTTCCATACAGGAACAAGTTTGGATTTTGTAAAAAAGCAAGGAAGGCAAAGCTCTTGAATCTGATTGGACCCAAAGCCGAGGGGAATGAGAAGCTGGTTAGGAAGTTTTATGCTAAGGTAGCTACAAATTTGAGTAATGAGATGTTTATCTGGTACTAGCATATCCTCATTACTCCAGAGCGCATCAGAGATTTCTATCAGCTTCCCACTGTTGAACAATGCCAATATTAATGGTATCTAAGCAACCAGAAGGAAATTCCTCTCCCTGAAATCTCATCGACCCTTATTGGCTCAAAAGAGGATAAGTAGGTGAGACCAAAGAGGGGCCAGGCTTATATTCTGCGTAAGGACATGACGCCTAAGGCCAGAATATGGTTGCATATTGTCACCAGAAACATTATGCTAACCACTCATCTTAGTGAAGCCCCACGGAATTTGGCAATTTTGATATATCTATTCATGATCAAAGCAACAGTAAATGTAGAGAAGTTGATCTTTGATGCCATATGGGATGCTAGCAGAGCCCACAACACAAATCTCATTATGCCTCACCTAATCTCGGATCTGTTAACTAAAGCAGAGGTATAATAGAAAGAAAAAGATCGAAAGTTCAAGTCAATTTCACTATTCAACTACACCAATTTATTTCCTAAATGAGAACAACAATGTATCACTGAAGCCATGTACGCTAAATAGTTCCTTGAGGAGTATAAGAGGTAACAGGAAGCTCGAGCCAGTGCTAGCATAGACCCAACCACTCAGAGCTTGGTCCTTCTCCATGAGAAGTTAGACAGAGATACGTCACAGGAGGTGTAGATAAAGGCGCATTGAGGAGCTATTGGTCTAGATTGCATAGAAATTGGACATTGATGCACCGAATGTTGGAGATACGAGCATTGAGGCTGAAAATGAGAAAGGGTCGCTTGGAGAGGAACATGAAGTTGGAGCATCTGGTTCTAGTCTTGGTAAGGGAGATGACATGGCTGTCGATCTGTTTACAGAGGGTGATGAGGATTAAGGGGATCAACAGACTGAGGAGGAGGAGGACTAGCCGAGGCCGTTTGTTGCTGTGTTGATGCTTGTTTATTTCTTTTACTTTTGTTTATGCTCTTTAAGTTTCTTTTGGTTTTTCCTGTTTAGTGTGTTCTTATTTGCTATACTATTTCTGGAAAGGCTGCTAATGGCTTGTTTGACTACTGAACAATTCATGTGATTGTTGCATGACTGAGTTAATTGCTGGTAAACTGTTGATTATTTTGATAGTCATCTAATCTCTTCATTGAATAATTCATGGATAATAATAGTGATTTCATTGAGGTTATCTAATAATGATACTGTTGATATCGTGCATACTGCTATATTTATACAGGAAAAAGGGCTAATTTTGACCTTTCATGCAACAAATTTATTATTTTTGGGTTCTGGTTGTGTGCCCTGACCTTCACTTAACCCTTGTTGATAGTGAGGACATTGTCAGTTTTGAGTTTGGGGTGGGGGTTGATTTTTGTGGATAACAGGGTTTATTTTGAAAAGTTTTGAAAGTCTTGAAAAGGTCATTTTGTTGAGTAAATATTTTGAGTAAAAAGGAAAACAGTTGAAACAGTGAAAATTTCGTGGTCTCAAATTTTTGCTGGTTTGGTTTTCTGAAAGATGAGCTGAAATGACAAGTTGGTAGTTGAAAATGTATGAATGGTCCAATGATTAAGCAGTTGTTGAGTTACTATGCTTGATAGGAAGTTGTGATTTGCTCTTTGATGCTTGAATTATGAGTTTAAAACCTGTGTTTTTTTAACTTTGGAGAAACTGATGCATAAAAAGGGGTCAAAACATTTCAAGTGATTATACTAAGGTTGAGTGGATAATTTAGCCTTTATACTTTTGTTTCAACTAAATAGTTTCAAAACCTTCTTCTGATTTCTCAAAGTTTATGGTTTGTTCTATATGAATTTGAAAAATGATCAGGGCAAATTCCTAAATGCGTTTGAGCCTTTCAAGCTGACCTTAAAGATCTCATCCTTTGAACCCATATTTTGAGCCTTTAAAATATATATATATGCTTTGTTTCAAGTCCTAACCTTTTCCTAACCCAAAACCAATTGAGAAAAACCATGAAGTCCCTGGCTTTAAGATAAATAGAAGTAGAAAGGATAAGGAGTGTGATAAGATGCTGAAATTTTGAAAGGTTGGCAGGGGTAATGGAAATATTCTAAAAATTGAAAGTGTTAGAAACCAAGCTGTGATTTACTGCTATTTGATGTTTTGTTATTTCAAAACAAAAAAAAACCAAAAAAAATAGAAAAAGAGAATAGTATATAAATATTTAGTTCAATTCCATGAAAGCTTGGTGAGAAGAGAATTAATTTTGGTACAAGTTTGGGGGAATGAAAGTGGTTGAAATGAGTTCTGATTACAGGCAACTATTTATCTCAAAGTATTTGTATACCCTATTCTCCCTTTCTTTCCTAAACCATGACCCCTTAGCCATGTTACAAGTCGAAAAGTCCCTTTGATTTCAAATTTATGTGGGGTGAGTTGTAGGCGTAGAGGGAGAAGGAGTTAGGCTTATGAAAGTATACGGTTGAAGGTTAGTATGTTGGCTAAAGTTTCATACTCTGTTGGGACATTGTCATAAGAGATGTTCTTTGACTCTATACACACACTCACACTCCAAAATCATTGGGAATTTGTTTTAAGCTCATGAAACTTGCTTCTTTGGGTGATTCAGTAATTTCGTATCTTGTATATTTCTTTAAGCAATTGATGAGGATATAGCCATTTTTGCAATCTTTGATGTGCAATCTGTCACCCAGTTGCTGGTTTGTTGTTTTACTCGAGGACGAGCAAAAGTTTAAGTTTGGGGGTGCGATAACCTCTCGAAACTCCTACTTATTCAACTTGTTTTAGCACTCTTTTATATGTTTTGGAAGTCAATTATGCAGGAAAAGGCCCGAAGCAAGCAAGGAAGAGAGATCAGAAGT